TCTATTTATAGAGGGGACAACAAACAGCTAACAAAAAATGAAAAAATAAAGTATGAAGTCACAACCGGAAGTGATAGCGAGGTCGTCTATTTGCTCTACATAGTGCCAAGTAGAATTAATTGCTCACCTTTTATGTGCCGTTAGAAATGGGCGATTTTATTGTGCCTTTATAACTCCCCAATTTCATTCGCGAGAAATAAAGAAAGACCATCAAGAAAGTTTGAAGAAGCAAAGATTTTTTTTGTTTGCCAAAAGGTCTACTTGCAATGCACACCAAAAACTTCGCAAATGGAAATCTATATAGCACAAATATTCACGAGCACAAGGCATTAAATTTCGAAAACTCACGTTGCCCAATCGTGGAAAGCCACTGCAGTGAGACATCAGCCTGAGAATATCGCTTTGGGAACCGTAGAGTACAGCACCTCGTTGCTTATCGTGTCACATTTATCGTCACCGAAGACGAGGGCACGCCTGCCGTGCGCCAGCGAAGGCAGTCGGCAGTCACAAAAGCGGCTATTTACGCATTCTCTGAACTAGTTCTCCTCTGAAATGTCACGCCAGTAAATTGCACATCAGCAAATAAATAAACTACGGAAGGTACACATTAAACCACCACACAAGAGTGAGCGGTGCCTCATTGACCCGGGAATGCGCCGAACTAAACACAAGCGCTGAGTAGAAGTTTGTGTAGATACGACCCCCCCCCCCCCCCCCCCCCGCGCATTTACGGCATTCTGCCAAAATATGAAGCAACCATTCATTTACCCAGGTGTAAGATAAACCGTAAAGTAAACTTATAGTTAACTCTTACATATTTAAAATTACGACTATCTGAAAAAGAAATTATATTGAGTTTTTAGTTTTCGTTTCCCTCTCCTGGCGTAGTCGCGCTTCAATTGTCAACGGATGTTGATGCCTATGGCAATAGAGGTTTTTAGTTTGACGTTTTTGTGGTCCGCCCCGCTCCGGGAGCACCCGCGAAGCCGCAGCGGAGCGGCGGCTGATTTTTCTCTTTTAGTTATTCGTTGCCGACAGCGAAGCGGACCTTTCGCAGTAGCAGCGCCCTCTGGTCGTTTTCATCGTCGGTAAACAAAATAAAAAACATTTTTTTCACGTATACAAAGCAAAACAATAACGTATAAATTATCTTTTCCCGAAGTATTTAGAAATCCACTTTCAATGTATTAACCGTCTATTTTTCTGACAAAGAAACAAGCTCTGACTTGATAGTAGCCGCTCAAAAGCCAGCAAGGTTCCGTTCCAGAACCATTGCAAGCATTCACTGTGTGTTGTTTGCGCTTTTGACGCGTGCGTGGTGGCGGCGTTTTTATTTTTCACCGTTGAAACTGTGTTTTCGCGGCTTGCGCTGGGCAGGTGACGGCGAAGCTGCAGCACTCGCGGAAAGCGTGCCATCTCCGGAGGAAGCCATCTTGAAATGAGCAAAGTTGCTGCACGCACTAGAGAGGGCGCGCGCGTTGTCCCCCTTCCGCTTGCAAAAACGGCAGCGACGCACCGTGCTCCGCTTAGGCTGCTCGTAAGCGGACCGTAATCCCCGCTCCGGTAACCCGCTTAAGGCCTTAGCGGAGGGCGCATGCGCACTCGCGTTCCCGCTCCGCTTAGCTGCTAAGCGGAGCGCAAAAACGTCAAACTAAAAACCTCTAATGGCTTTTCAACATTTTTCGTTCCAAGTTTCTCATCCCATCATAATACCTCCCTCGCAGTCATGTCCATCGACTTGTCACACTTATGGTGCATTCAGACGACGGACCGAATCCGGATGTGGCGGGACGGACGGCGCATCACGTGACCTCACATCAGCGATTCCCCTCGTCCACGACTCGTCCGCGCGACTCGCGGACGGATGACCGCAACCTGTTTCTCACATCGGGATTCTGGCGGGGGAAAGCCGATACTTCAGCGGATTAGCTCGTGGTTTCTGGCAACCAGTACATTTTTGTTTGCTCGCGGCATGGCCTTCATGGCTCGCGAATAGCTGCGCATGACTGGTCGGCATCATCTACGCTTGAGCATGGTTTACTTAGTTTCCGGGGGCTTTGTTCTCAGGTGATTAAATACGCAGAAATAATTTTTGGTGGTTCGGGAAATGTCGCCGCCGTCGTTTGACACGCGAGATTCTTAGCCATCATGATGGTGAAATATTCTAACTTCTGCAACCGGCGACGTGCCGCTTCTCAAAAAAGGATGGGAGATACGCTCAGAAGTTCTACAAGTGGGGAACAATGTAGTTGAAAGAACATTCTGCCAGCAACTCCCTTTTTTCCTGAAAGAATAACACTCGTTGTTCATTTGTCACAACGCAACAGACATCGCAGTCAAGCGTCGCTTCTTGCGGGCATCCATTTTGAATACTCTCAAACCGGTCTGCTTTCAGCGCGCGCAGGTAAGCGCCGAACCTGCTGTCGAGGGTAATCCGGCTGTTTTCTCCTAGGACACCGTCCGTCGTGTGGATGCGCCTGCAGGCGGATCATCCGCGGATTAGCCGTCCGCGTTCACGAGAAATCCGGATTCGGTCCGTCGTCTGAATGCACCATTAACAATAGCACCGTACACATTGATGTCACGTTTTCATACATAATCAAGATGTGGCATCTGCTAAGCAGCGTTGATGATGTAGCCTAGTATATGTGTGTAGCACATAATGCCAAACGCCCTGTCTCCGCGCAAGGTAACGTATGGTACGGGTCGCCTCCGTGAAGGATAGACGTGCGTTCGAGCACACGACGTGCATTTCGAAACATTTCGTGGGTCATGCGCATTCTGCAACATATCTTATCGAGATTGCCGTGGCGTCTTTACGTAAACGATAGTGAATTCGTGACATAGGGCAGTTTCAGTTTCACGTACGTACGGAATCATCATGAAAGAGGAAAGGAAAATGGTGGTCATTAACCTGTGTTGAGGAAAGTGTCTATAGGAAGACGAAGTCCAAACAGGAAGTGAACCGCCAGACTGGAAGGCGCCGATTGCTTCAACGGGCTCGCGGGCTGAGGGAGCTCGCGGTGCGTTGCGTGACAGACCGGCGCCGCCGCTTGATGACGTCATTCATACGATCGCATCAGGCGGGCTCGATTGCTGGCCTTGACACAGATTGCCTTTTGCAGAGGCATTGACGTTCGGTGCGGACTCGCAGCGCCGGAAAAGACCAGCTGCTTACACGTGGCTCGGATGTCGGGCGCGCTCGTTCGCCAGGTCCCTCCAGGTTTGCCTCCAGGGCCATGGGGAGAATGCAGCTCCAGACTCCGTTCCGTGAACACATCCCATTCTTGAGGACGGATCCCAGCTCCACTGGCTGGTCGCCACAACTTGCCGGCCAGCTTCGCTCATCTCTTTTGACGATTTTTGGTATCAGCACTCGTCGATGGTTCTGCAACTTGTCAAGAACGGTTCGACAGCAGACAACACACGACACAAGCAAGGTGTTCTGTCTGGTGTTCTGTCACCCGACAGAACACCAGACAAAGTACATTACAACATATACATAGCTACGTGTCTATCGGAATTTTGTTCCCTCTACATCAAGAGGCACATGTGGGACACAAGACTCTTAAAATGACAACTCAAATTTTTACACGTACAGTAACGTAACGAAATAGAATAGAACATAAAGTTGGCTCCTTGAGCTCATTCTGGAGGAGAGCGCTCAGCTGGGGCCGTGATGAAGACAAAATTTTGGCCCAAATCACCAGCAAGAAACCGAAAGGTGGAGAAGGTACTAACTAAAACGCACGACTCAATGCGTCTTGTTACGAGCCGCGTCGGTGGCCGCAGCGGACCCAGTACACAGTAAAATTTTTTACACCCTTATAGGTGTAAAAAGGGTGTTATCGCAATTTACACCCTTTTTTCAAAATTTCACACCCTTTTTTCTTTCGGGACACCCTACAAGAAGGGTGTACAGACAAAAAGGGTGTTGTTGAACAAGATGAAGGGTGTTAAGGGAAGGACTTAAGGGTGTACCCGTGCCACACGGGCACAGAAAATGACATTCGGTATATATAGCGAAGACACGTGCACTCAGTTCCCGAATGACATTTTTTCTCGGCGTTGCTGTTATGTCCAAAGCGAATGACATTTGACTTGATGATTTCGATCGCACCACCTTCCTAGTGAGCATTGGGTGGGTATATATAGCAATAAAAAATAAACAAGCGTTTACAAGCTTCATACACATCGAATGATAATTGAAAGAATAAATAAGCATATTACACTGCCGTTAGCTTTCGTTCATTAGTTTGTTTCACGACGTTGCAACCAACCATGGCAACTTAAGCCAAAGCTAGTCAGATCCACAGCATAAAAAGGAAATGGCGCCTGGCGCATTTATTTTACATTGCATATATACCAGCTGAAGAGAAGTTTTAAGCAGTTGTTTGAGTGGTTGGTGTAAATAAGATCCGCGAAAAGTTTCCTTCTAGTCGAATCAAATGTCGTTTTATATTTCTCAATCAAATGAGTCCTGGCGATGACATTAGAGGACGAACGGCATTTGGGCGATTGCGATTTCGTTCATCCGTGATGTGGCACCACGCGAATGGCCTTCAATCTGAAAGCATTATAGGAGATAAATGCCATTTTTTCTGCCCGTGTGGCACGAGTATTAAATGCATCCATGCTTACATATTAAAAGACTTGAGTGGAGCAAAGTGTATGTTGTACTGCATTTTTTAAGATTATGGTGTCATCGACACCACACAAACAAGGAAATCCTTTATAAAGCCATTGTCACAACGTTATTTTTTGTAATATCTTTATTTTCATAAGAAAAGATCATGATATACACTTTTTGCTTCGCAGAAAACTGTACAAGAACAATCAAGAAAATGCACAAAAAATGAACACACACTTGCAAAGGTTCAACATGTGTGTAAATATTTTTATATTTACATGTGGAACAAATTTGGTATCGAAAGAAGGAGAGGTACTTTTGAAATAATTTTTCTACAAACGACACTCAAACGACATTCCGGAAAGTTCAAAAGGCTCAAATTCAACAGCCACGACGAGCGCACGCCGTTCTCACGCGCTACTCGAATATAGGATGTGCTTGATCAAGAAGGAGACGCCGCCATTACCACTTCCTTTCGGGAGCGCTGTTAGCACGACGACGGCTGCTGGCCCTTCTTTTTTACTTCTTTCTCCGGCGGCCGTGGCAGGGCACAGCGCCTTCGGGAAGAGGGGATGAAAGATGTAAGGAGACGAGAGAGAAAGAGTGGCAGCGTCTTTGGAAGGTTACGTTCGCTTGCAAGTGACGACTCCAGCAGCAAACGCGTCAGAGAGGTCGTGTCCATGTAAGCATGGTTTACCCCCTGTCCCTCTCCGCCCCCTCAAATTCAACGTAGAGAAGCGAGCGCGGAGGGAGATACCATTGCATATAGAAGGTGTGATGCTTCCGCACTTTCTCGGCATCTCTTTCCACACCCGCAAGCTTTCACTCCTCCGTCAGTACTCGTGAGTGCGCGCCATTTTGATAACTGCGCCGTTGAAAACGTGACTATCTGCGCCGTTCGCAGAGTGCTGAAGCGTTTGAATAGTATTTGGCGTGCATTTTCTTCACTCGCGCTGAGGACTTTGGAACGTCAATTTTGTGCGCTGCGTCATCCGAGATGCCGCCGATCCGTTGTCTGCTGACTGTACCGCACATTCAGATAAAGCGGACGTACCACTTGGAAGAAGGTTCCGTGGTCGCCCTCAAACATGCGATTGCCACATGTCCTGTCCTTGGGTCGCAAGTTCAACTGTCTTGCAGCAAATTTCAGGTAAGTGACTGCTTATTTGTTCAACTGTGTATTTGTTGAGAGCGATAAGTGCTTTTAATCGTCGTTGAAAGCTGAGGCCCGTTTTTCTTTTTTTTTTTTTTTTGCTGCGAGTTTGCGTAGTTTCGTATTTAAAGGCTGGGGATGTGCGCTTCTGTACTATTGTTAGTGGGGTCCGGTTTGCCGAAACAGTGTTTCTAAGAGGAAAACTAAGCGTGCAAGTTTTTGTATTATTTTACAACTCATGCGTTTTTATTGTCTGCCTCATACATGTGTACGCGTGCCCGAATTGACAGTATGTCGAAAGGCAACTACATGTTTCGCGTATCGACATCGTAGCTAGGCCTCACTGAAGGCTTGTCAATGGTCGCAAGCCTTGTGTTTACGTTCTGACCGCATTAACCTCTCCTTGATGTAATTTAACTCACCCCTCCCACACACCACAACAAAAAAAAAAACGTGTTGATACTCGAGATAACATCGGCTGCGATGTGGCCGAACGAGTTCGCCGTGCACTTTTAAACTTAGTTCGCTGAGCATGCGGCTGAACTACACTCGCTTCAACAAAGTTCGTTGATTTTGAACGGTTGGCAGCGCACACCACTTTTCATAGAATGCACAAATAAAGCATGAGAACGTAGTGAGGCGCTTGCTTTAATATTTTCAAGAATGTCACTTTTGTTCTTATCGTACACAAACCTGTGTTATCGTCTATCTAGAGTGTATTGTAAGTTGGAGCGCTCTCGAGTGTTTTGTATTGTTGAATTAACATATATAGCGTGTATGATGCGAGTTGTGGAGTTGTCTCAAGTGTACGTGAGGAGAATTGCATAGTGAGGGGATTAGTCGAAAATTTATTTCGAGTAAAGATGCCTATGCGTACCTGCGTGTGTGTGTGTGTGTGTGTGTGTGTGTGTGTGTGTGTGTGTGTGTGTGTGTGTGTGTGTGTGTGTGTGTGTGTGTGTGTGTGTGTGCAAGGCATTCCGGAGGCCGTGTCTCCAACAGGCCATGCGTGCTGGCAGCTGAGCCGTGTCTTCGCGATCTAGGAACATACAGTAGCGAACAAACCCTCATACATCTTTTTCAGTTCATTGACAATATACGGGGTTGGTTTGCAGGTAATGGATCCTCTGTTCAATGAACTTGTCGACCTCGCTACTGAAGACAGCATACCCGATATGTCGAAAATCGTTCTTATGGCACAGCAAGAAAGTAGCGGGAATGAAGCGCCGTCATGTTCATCGTCACAGGTAAATTTTCTGAGTTTTTCGTTCTTATTGTTTAATATTATTAAGATTAAATGCTCTTTTATAAATATTTAAATTATCAGTTATTTAGTTTTGATGATCAGTTGCAACTGTTGGCGCGAGCGATTTTTGGCAGCGAGAGCAAAACGGCACGAAATGTCTGAGCTTGTTATCAGCTGATGTCATTCTAGAAGTCCGATGTTAAGTCCTAACGCCTGATGCTCTTCTCTAGATTAGTTATCGAATATGGTACAAATCCTTTGCGGATGTTACGATCTAGCTGCTTTTTAAGTTTTACCGGCTTATGTTGATTTGAGTACATTTTGTTGGAATATTACTTACGGCTAGGGACATGTATGCTGTGGGTGAAAGAGGAAGTGTGATTGTGAGCAGCAAAGCAGGGGGACTTGAGTCAAGCGCAGTGTTTCTTCGCGGAAGGTGCGGGTGAAATCGGTGTTGTGGAATAGCAGGGAATGAATTAATAAATTTTGAAGTATTTTATTTGAAGTATTATTTAAATTAAAAAAATTGTATTGAAGAAATTGTTTTATTGTCTGCGCTTTTCGCACGCTGGCATGCAAGGCCCTGGTTATGTTTTTTTTTTGCGTGTGACACAAACTTGCGTGCACTCACGCAATTTTAGGAGGGTGCCTTTTTTTAACCATTGCAGTTTTTTTAAAATAAAAAGTCTATGATACGCTGGTTCCTGTCGTTTTCGCACAAACTCGATGGCGAAGCGAAAATAACTTTCTGCAGCTAAAATGACGACCACGTGACAAATTTAAAACTGTTCAATTAGCATTTTAATTTTGGGCTTTAGTGCCGTATATATCAAAGTTCTAGTGGGAAATCATAAGTAATCGCACCTGGCCGGCACGAAGCACAGCATAATACCGAAATGACCCGTGGAGCGGAAATGGTGAAACTTAAATGGAATGGTGCGCCAAAGCAGAATCTGGTCGTAAAAAGTCTGCAAACATCTTAAAATACCCAAGTAGACAGCTTATCATTTGTCTAAGATGGGTGGTCCTGATATTTTTCGTTCTGAAAATATAAAAAGACTAAAAAAAACATTTCACTTCTCTGCAAAAAGAAATGGCAAAGTGTCTGCGCCAGAGGTTTATTCTTAGACAGGGGAAAAGTTTCATTGCAGTTTTCTTGTGCACAGTGCATAAATAGTACGAGAGAGCGTGTACCAGTTCATGGAAATGCCGATTTTTGCTTGCACTACCAGGTGCAATGAAAAGCTTAAACCAGCTCTGCCGTTATTATTGTAAAATACCTACCACCTCGTCATTGCAATGTATGAATACCAACTTGCCGCTGCCCTGTATGCTATGCATTGTATCTCAATATTGTATATTGTGCATTCCCACCCCTGAAACTGCCCGCGAGGGCTTACAGTAATATAATAAATGATGGCAGTGTGAGCTATAGCAATAGGTTTACAGTTTCTAGAATGTGTTGTGAAAGACTGGCGTGTATTTAAATATCTCCATGCTATAAGCAATATCTAGTACATTTACTGACCAAAGTAATAAAAGATGGAGCTCTCAATTATCGTAACACTGCAACTTTACGAAATACAGCTTATTAAGTTGCCCTTGCTATGTTATTACTCACTACTCACCAACAGCTAGCGAAGTACCATTGAACAACACTGCCAATGGAGTGCAGCGGAGTTTATTAGGGTGCCTAATGAGACATAAAAATGTTGTTTATAGCCCATAGTATGGATCTTTACTTGTATGCGGGTCTTGTTAGCTTTCTGAAATGTCAATGAGGTATTGTAAATGAGTTCTTTGGAGATCCGCAAGGTGGCTGAAGGTATTTTGCAAGAACCAGGCCAGTTTGCAGAAATGCGTATACTAACGCATTAGTGATTACGATTTTCTGACCTCCTGGTTGAAAAATGGTTCTCAAGCAAATGCCTTCAGTCTTGTGAGAGGCCATGGATTGCAGATATAAGAAATTTATTTGCCCCTTCTGCAAACATACGAAAAGAAGAAAACAAAAAATATCCTCTTTGCTGAGTTTGTGGAAATATTAATAATTTGTTTTTTATTGAAATGGTGCCACTGTTTCAACTCAGTGGGGTTCGTTTACTTCACTATTGGCATGAAAGTAATACCTTAAAAGTGACTTCAATGAAACCAATATATGGGATTTCTCAAAAATGAAAAACGAGACCTAAACAGCCCAACATAAACAGTTGTAGCCATCTGGCATCAGGGAACAAAAGTATCATGAATATAGCTTTATTATAATAAGTTCAATTGCAGACTAACGTCTGCTGATAAAAAGTGCAGTCATCATGGCTCATTTCGTTACCAAGTCTCATGACAGATACATGCTCATCGACTGTAGTGAAATGGTTAATGTGCTGGTTGTCCTCCCCTTATTTGTATCATGTAAAAGTTGCATTATTGTTCGTTCCCTTGCTTTCAGGGCACATTACAAGCTGTTGTTGAAACTGGTGAGCAAGACACACCAAGCATGGTCATTGAGCCTGTCGAGCGGTAAGGGCTTTTTTAGGATCATTTGTAATTGCAGTATGAACAGCTATGAGTTATGGGTAGAGATGTGCAAATATTAGTTCGCCATATTGAAGCAGTTCCGAGTAATAAAAACCAGGTTGAATTGAATATATTCAATTCGGAATGATACATCAACAAACTAGGAAAAGATCAACTTGAAATGAAAATTATCACCAATAAGCATTACATAAGAATTATGCAGTGTTGTTTGAGGGTACCTCATTTGCAGTTATTTAACATGTTTGTGAAGGAATGATAGCTGTTTGGTATAATTAGAGAGCTGTGACACGAATGTACGTCACCATTTCTCTAGACAGTCACAACAGCTGTTCACCAGTCACACTAGTGCTTATGTGTTGATCTTGTCATCATAGCTTAATCCTTTAAATAAACTTGAAAAACTTATTACGTAAACTTTTCAACATTACTCGTGGCTATATAAATATTTGTGTTCATTTGGCATGTATTATTACAAAGTCATATTCTGTTGAAATATTTCAAATAATGTAATTTTTGAATTGTATAACTTTCTAATCAAAAGCATTATTAGAAGATAAGAACACTGATTGGTTAATGACTTGCAGTCTTCTCAAAGCCATGGCGATTTTAGAGCTACACTTACACATGTGCGTTCAGGAATTGCAGAAGTGCAATGAATATGCTGTAAGAAATGCATGTTCTAGTCATGTTCTTCTTATCTTCCACCTTGATCAAAACTACTTGAGCTGTTTTTATAGATGTGAGGCACACTTAAAGCATTGCAATAACAATCCAGCCATGACATTCAACATCTTCCACCTTGATCAAAACTACTTGAGCTGTTTTTATAGATGTGAGGCACACTTAAAGCATTGCAATAACAATCCAGCCATGACATTCAACTTGACTGTTAATATCTATTGCAAACTCACTTTTTCAGCTTCTATAGCCTTGAGAACACTATAAATCAAGCAGACAAGCTAGATGTTTTATTGTGAATGACTCATAAACTTTTAAACTGCTGATATATAAACTGCTGTCTAGCACTTTTGGCCTGAGTGTGTTTGTGTTGCTTTTACTGCAGGTTTCTTGTTGTTTGTTTTATTCAGCCCAAATATCTGCTAATTTCTGGCTTTATTTTTAACATGTGCATGAGCAGAAAGATTACCCGAACTGTTATTTTTCTTGCGGTAATTTGCATCATGATACATTTTTTACAGCCCACTCGGCTCAGGGGATAATGATGGCATAAATTTTAAACTACCCAGCCTTGGTGCCCTCCATGGAAAAGTGATAAGCTCTCCGCTGCTAACACCTTCTACATTCAGGCAAATCATTGACATCCTGCACAATGAAATGGCCAAGCACACACTGTGAGTACACAGAGGTGCACATTTAAATATAGTGTCCTGCCCTGTTAAACTTCAAGTTGTGACAGCTTAAGCTGCGATGCTCAACTGTCTTGCAGGTATCCAACGCGTTGTTTCTACAGTAAGGTGACAACCCTGCTTCTTGACAAGTATCCACAGCTGAAAGATGTAATTGGAAGTGGGCACGTAATTACTGTTATGCTGTAAGATATGTGATACTTACGCTTAATCACATTGCTCCCTAATGTTCCTTAAAGCTCCTTAATCACATTTAAAAGCAGTTTTGGGTACATTTTTTTCAGTGTTTCACAATGCATTGATATAACAACATTCACTTTAATAAAACATATGTTCAATCTTGAAAATCTAATTTTGCATTGAAGTGACACTGTATGATGCTTACAATTACAAAGACTATTGTGCACAGATTCATATGTAAAATCGAAAACAAAAGAGAAAAAGAGGGTTCTTCATTAGCTGGGACTCGTGGGGTCATTATAGTCTTAAGCTTCATATGCTGTAGGGTGTAATTGGTAGTGGTCACTTTTCTTATTCGCAGCCGCTGTCATGAGTAGCAACAAGTTGGGGTCTTGTATATGGCCGCATACACAATACTAAGGCTCAAATGTCCTACAGCTACATAAATCACCAGACGAGTGGATAAGTGAGCGTGCTACTAAATTTTAGTCAGGGTATTGCAGCAGCCATTTATCTGTGAGACATACTTTTTAATAAATAAGCAGTGCTGCTAGACATTTTGTGAATGTTTTGCAACTAGTGAATGCTTTGGATATATTTATCAAAAGTGCATTTCATTACCAGCAGTTTTAAAGTCACTGATATCAGTGGGCTTATAGTGCTTGAATTTTAGTTTGTGTATTTATTATGGAAAGAAATTCATTGAAAAGGCCAGGTATGCATGTATCATTGTGTACATGAATATATTGAGCACCTTCATTTTCCGAATTGACAGGACTCCTGGAAAGTAGCCCTCCGCAATAAGTATAAAAACCTAAGAAGGAAGCTGGATGATCATGAAGATGTGTTAGCAAGTCGCCAGAAATTCGGTGCCCAAAAGAAAACAGGAGGCACCACTGAGCTTCAAAGAAAAAAAGCTGGGAAAATGGTGAGGATAGTTTAATACCGTGCTCACAGAAAATCCCACCCATTTGTAAAAGCTGCATGAATAGTCTCATCAATAGCTTGCAATTTGATTCCAATTCCAGAGTGTGAGCATCACAGATCTAACAGCAGAAGATGATGACAGTATTGCCAAACATGAAGATCGACTTGTTTTGGAAACCAAAAAACTATTGCCGGATGAGCAACTCGTGGAAAAGTTAATGGCCTTGACAGCTGGGAAGAGGCTTCCTGACGTTGCGACGAAAACGATTCGTGATGTGAAAAAGAACTACCCCTATATGATGGACTTTCAGCGAGTACGTTGGCTTTTTTTTACTTCTAGGTAGGGTACATCTGTGGTTTATTAACTGTATTGCTGTAATTATATAAAAGTGAAGAAATTTAACTGGGTAAGAATACAACTTGTTGCCACTGGGGTCCCAGCCTGCAACCTTCAAGTAACTCATATAATGCTCTGCCAGTCGAGCTACAGTGCCAGCCTTCCTCCTGTACACTTAATTGGGGTGGATGTGTGCACTTAAACTTGGGAGTGTTAGCCAGTGCTGCATGCTCTAAGCTATTGCGATGAGTGTTGAACACCTTTTGCCTGCTGCCACCCCGCGGCATATTACTTTTGTACTATAGCTGCAGTTTACCAATAATCCCTCACATACTTTCTGAAGGCATCAAGTCTGCCAGAACAAGACTCTTGCTCTAAACGCAAGAAAAAAGTGGAAACATTAGGCCTCGGTTTTCTTCGTATGACGCCGCTTCAATGAAAACGAGCTGACAGTAAAGATAAGAAAAACATGGGGACTTGATTTTGAGCGCATACTGTATAGTTATTTGAATGTTGTCTATTTCATGATCGAGGACATATATTTAGTGGGCAATGTTCTATTTGTATTTTGTAGAGAGATTGTTTGGGTGCCGCCAGAAACTATTTTAGAATATATGAAAAATTATGTAGGTGAGGCTGCTCATCATGAAAGGCCTGACATTTTGTTTTATAATGTTGCTCGCTGTTTATTCTATGCAGTTTTGCAATGACTTTACAAGACTGACCGACCGACATAAAACCAGTCGGGAAGGTTTCAACAGCCATCGATAAATTAACCCAATTGGCAGTGATGAAGAAAATACGTTGTAGTGAAAACACGAGGCAAATGTTGGAGAGAGCACGTCAAATGGACCCCAAAAGGATGAGAACAAGATGTGAGTTCATGAGAATTTTATTTCAGCTTGGATTGTACTCGATACTTGAAATATGATTGTGTAAAAACAGGGAAGACAACAGACAAGGATAACTGCGTACTTGCTAGGTTTGTAAGACATTAGATTACAGTTTTTCGGTAACCCCATAGTTAATTTTCCACAATGTAATATGCATGCACTCTCCCGTATACTATAATATTTATCAGCAAATAATTTTATTGTTTTCCCTATCAAGGATCCTAATAATTGCCTGTCTTTCATGAAACTAGCCCAAGCTGTTCAAGGAGCTTTTGCCACTTAAATCAGAGTTACTCTGGCTTACTCCTAGTGAATTCAATCAGTTACATTGCTCAGGTCACATACTTTTTTAGCACTATGTTCTTGTGTTGACCTACTTTTTTTGTGGTACATAAAATTGCAATCTGCATTATCATAAATAGCTCATCTTCATTCTAAAAATATAAATCTGCAGAGAGAGTAAAACATGTTTGTGTACTTATGTATTACTTACCTTTTGTATACCTTTTATGATTTTTTTAAAATTCAGTGCTTTCAAATTTATTGTTTGCTTTATTTGTGTATCATTTCTTGCTTACAGCTTCTAATAATTGTAGAAGCTGAAGAAAAATGGCCCTGAAAAGTCTGTTCGCAGCACACACATGCAAGGGTACTTTAAATGTTGGCAGCCACACATCCTTGCTCTCGTGAAAAGAGATTTTATGCAGCTCCTCACTTAAAGGCTAGCAGAGTGGAATTGCGTCCATATGTATCAGAAGGCTAACTTATCACAGGAGGTCAAATCACAGGAGGCTGTATATTAGGAGGCCATATGTATCACAACCTATAAGAAAAGTTGTTTCAATGTGCCCTAAGTTTGCACTTCAGAGCTCATTTGTGTGTGCTGTCCATGTTTTCTTTCAAGTGCTACACATCTGATAAATGGATGAACCTGTACAGACTGCCAACTTTACACTTACTGTTTTGAACAGCATAAAGGATGAAAGACACATATGATAGCTGAACATCAGAAATGCCTGTATGGAGTCCTTTTTTATGTTTATATTGTTGTTTAATCCATGAGCTCACATTATCTGCCCCAACTCACCCTTTTGATACATTTCAATACACTTGCACCATTGGCCCTTTCCTAAATGTAACACCCTTTCTTAGGGCCACGAAGAATATTTTTCTCACAAGGGAATACTTAGCAGTATGCTGATGGCCCTCCTTTGTAGAAGTCACGGCTAGAATTAATCTATATTCAAAGAAAGTGTAATTCCCAGATTCATTCCTATGAAGAATATGTTTTCACGTGTTCTGTGAAAGCTGGCTATCACATTTGTGTTTTATACAATTGTGATTGAAGTCAACACATTACCCTTCTAGCCAATTTCTTGAGAATATGCCGCTTCTTTACAAATTTTGTATGACAAGCTTGCATCTTCTCCTTCCCAGGCTTATTTAGAAAGCATTTTAGATGTTGAAATGCATGCTTCATTGCCTCTTATCACAGTTTGAAATTATTTATTACTGTCAAATAAAATAGCCTTGCATAATTTTATTTTTTGCAGATATTATGGCACTTGTAGCTCTGAAAATCGTCTGTGAGAATGTGAAGGAACGGTCAGCATGCTCAATTTTATTTGTGCAAGAGACTGTGAGTATATGAAACACTGAGTAGCTAATGTCACTGCATGTTAGCAAATGAAAATTTAGACAAACTGCATCAAAGCGAACTCACTATTGCTAGCAGAGGCCAATGGTCAAGTTATGACAAAGCAATGCCAGTACAGTTACACCCCTTTATAAGAGGCATGCTTCGGATGGCAATTCTTGTCTTTTATACAAGATGTCTCTTATAAGCAGGGTGCCTCGTACGCATTTTCTTATCAGCCCATATTTTAGTGTAGGCACACTGGTGTCTCGGATACCCGTTTGTCTTTTATATCAGTGTCTCTCGTAAAGGGGTTTGACTGTAATACCAAATTTAGAGATGGCGATAGATAACGTGTAAAACATAATTTTGTGGCTGTAAGCTGTGACCGACGTAAATGAAGGAATTGTGAAGGTCAGTCAGCCAGTATTTTTTTTTTCAAGTGCATGACATTGATTTGCAATTTTGCGTCCATATGCTTTAAATGATGCCTTGCAATACTCACTTTAGGTTGCATTTTACGTCAAGATGGTGTTTTTTTTCATTCTAAACATTGTTTCGCATGTGGCTTTGCAAAACAGCAGTAACTCCTGCTAGCATATACTTTCTCTCTCTATCTGATCAGAGTAATCACGAATTAGTTTTGTGACTTGATTCCTTTAATATATGAATGCAAGGCCCCAGGCTCATTTTATGCTTTGTTTGCTTTGTGACATGTCTTGCTTTTAAGCAGTGTGCATTAAATAAATTTACACAAGGCTATCCTCCGCCGCCATTATTGTGTCTGCAAAACAAGAGACATTTTCAAACTCTTGAGTGCTCCTTAACCTTATGCACTCCATACTCGTGTTTAAAAAATCTGAGTATCAGGTTAAATACACAGACATAGAATAACAGTGTGATGAGCGTTATAGTTGCATTGTATTAGATTTTTACAGCAAGTAAAAATAAATTTCAAGATGAAACAAGGATGAAAATATATGGTACAATCTACATCACCTTCTCCTGCTGTTGTTTTTTTTTTGTGTGTGTCAAGGAATGTTTTTATTTTTCCAGGAAGAAAAAATTTTTATTTTTCAAGTATAACACAGTTATTTTTGTTAGCTGATGTAGAATAACTAAATATGTCTGAAGAAACTCTTGAACGAGGCTTTCTTTCTTTCCCTATTCCCTAATGAGGCAAGTTTTGTGCACGCTAAGGGGCAGTGAATACCAGCTTTTTGTTTGTGTATGTCGAATGGATGCATAAATTTTCATTGCTTTGCATTGTGATTGCCTAGAGAACTCGTGACACTACAATTGTTCCCTTCATTTTGTCAGATGCATTATATTGTTTTAATCTCCCAGTTAAACCATAGTTATGCTGCACACATTGAAATTGTTGTTAATGATAGATATCACATCTGTAATGCTAAAACAGAAGTTGTGTCTTTTAAAGTGCTCTAAACCTGTTTTTTAAACTGTACAGAATTTGAAGTAAGCCACTCAGTGAAGTCTTATGCATTTTCACTTTGCCTATACAGGACGACATGCCAGCAACGCCATGTGTATCTTATAATGGGGCCGTCCTTGAAGATGCAGAGTTTTTCTGGCTGATGCTAGACCAGACAAAGTGTTTTCAAGTGACTAATGCAGAGGAAGGACTTGTCCCAATTATGTGTGTAAACTGGTTGTTCAATGTTCAATATGCTTGTAAAGCGTTCAACACCCTTGTCGTCCTCGAAAGATTTTTTTTTGAGCTCGAAAAGACAACACCAAGATCTGTTGTTGCAAAGTTCTTAAACATTGTCGTAAAATCCACATAGTCATATGATAATGCCATATGGTAATGTTCTTGCACATTTGCCTTACTGCATATTTTTTATGTTTGATTGTATTAGTGATTGAAAATATATTGATTTTGCATTTGCTTCACAAGTCGTGCATGTTTCTCCTTTTGCATAGCCGGGCACACATGCTGTCAAATAACCCATGGTCATTGAACTTTTTAGTTATTACCATATTACATTCCTGCAAGACGGAACTATTGTGCAATAGTTTTTGCTGCTTGTTTGCTAATCTAAATAACATTACACTGCCTTGGTTATGGTCAGATTAGATTATGTGGGCCATTATGATATAATGCACATTGCAAGAAGCATGTGTAAAATTTTGCAATAAATGTAAATAATTTAGAGAAAAACTGCCTTGTGGTACTTGTTCTTGATATTTAGTCTGCACAAATCCATATTTATTTCTAGAATGCATCAAAAACAGATTTCTTTAAAAGTGAGAGCGATGCGCATCTACATAGCACTGTTGTTTTTATATATGCACAATATTTTTAACTTGGTAAGACTGAACCTTGATTTAGCCATGCCAGGTTTAACTGCAAATTAAGTTGCTGAAATATGTGTATTCTCTGCATCCTGCAATGGACAGGCACACTGCTTTGAGTACTATATATATTAGCATGTGCCGTGCATACATGTGCCGTGCATACCCGTTAGTGCTCTGTGGAAGTCGATATACAGCCATGGATATTCGTGCACATATATATTGACTTCACCCTGCCCTGAAGCGGAACACTGCAGCGCACGCCTATCGATATAGCAGAGGGTGCACACTTTTCCAACACCCTTGAAAAAGGGTGTTCCAGTTCAAAACACCCTAACACCCCAATTTTCATTTTGCTCGACACCCTTCGTCTAAGGTGTTCACATAACACCCTTTCAGTAGGGTGTATCTGAAAACACCCATAGGGTGTTCCTCTGGCGACAAGCCAGTTTACACCCTTAAGGGTGTAAAAAAATTTACTGTGTAGGTAGCATGGAGCTGGGTGGTGGTCGTCATTCCGCAGGCCACGGGGACGTTCAGAACTCTAGAGAGCTGAGGCAGAGGGACAAGCGTAAAGGAAAACTTATCAAGACGTTTATTTGCAACATGTTGGACAGTAACGTCCGAACGACGACTCTTCTCGCGACACTCTCCTGTTTTCTTCTGGCGGGCTGCTCCCGCTGCCTCGCCGAGCAGTTCCGAAGATAGGGGTGGAAAAATCACTTCAGGGAACCAACCATTCATAGAGAGCACAACACAAGTATCCCTTCACACACGTGGCAGATGAAACGTGGCACACGCGCGGGGACTAGGAAGCGACCACGCAGGAGAAATTCATGGCAGTCGCTCCTGTAGCACACAACCGGCCTTCCGCACATTCCAGAGGGGCCCGCCCGTAGTCACTGCCCCGCAGGCGAAGCGCACAGCCGAGACAAATACAGCCGGTGCAGGTGACAACCCGCACCCCACAAAAGAATGTCCGAGATGACGGGAAGGCACGCTTGGGGGCAGCCGGCCCAAGG